CCCTTTATCTACTTCTGTTCTCATCGTTTTTGCGATTTATTGACTGTGATTTTTGACGTTTTTTTTCCCCTCAGAGTAAATTCGGCAGTGAAAAGTTCCGTGAAAAGTGGGGGCAATTCGGTAATCTTCGGTGAACTGTGTGTGGTTCTTCGTAGGAGAATTTTCTATTTCAAAAAAATTTCTCTTTTCATTTTCACATCACATTTAGCGTCTTGTTAATTTGTTGGCTTTTTTTTAACTTCTATTTTTCAGAACACAGGCGCAAGTCAGTATTGGTTCTCTGTTTTTTGAGGAGATGAGGTCCGTTTGGTGTGCGTATCTTATATTGGAATTTATAACTTTTTGCTGATAAACACTGTGAAAAAAATGAAGACTGTTTTGGCAAATAATGAGATTACGAGGGGGATTGGTAGCTTCAAGATAATTAAGGCAATAATTATGCTAGAGATTTTGAATCGAAGTTATGCATGATTTTGCAGAAGCGCTCTTAAAACAAGCCGAGAAAATTCTTAAAAATTTTGATACTTCGGCTGTATTTGGGTGCAATAATGTTGAGCGTAGTGAGTATCGAAAGTATGATTTTTTTCGTCGTTTCTGGAAAAGCTAGTTGCTTTGTATACTGGATTTTCAACATAGGATGGAACAATGAATGACTGCTGCCAAGTGGATATAGCCGCATTTTATGCTTAGGCAAGGGCGCATCAAATCGGAATGAAAAGAAAAGGGTGCTACTGAATTCATCAGAAAGCAAGCAGATAGATTTAACTTGGAATTGCAATTGAGCAACATGTTGGTGAGGTCCTGTCGCAGTGTTCAGTTAACGCGTACATGACTTAATGGACCGAAACGTCTTGTCTCGCTCTTATCTCCTTTCTTATTGCAGGATATCAGGCCTTCGCCATTTTTAGGTTCCCAAGGTCAGTCTGGTTGCTACAATCAGCATATTAAAATATGTAGGATAGACAGGGAAAAACGAATGTACTTGGGGAAGAGTGAACTGGGCTCGCTGTCGCGCATTTCTGTGATGGGTGGACAAAATCGAGACCGGCTGGGGAAGAACAGAAGCAATATTTAGGGCACACTAGCAATGGCGTCGCGAACGGAGCCCTTTCTCGAAAATTGTTCTGGACCGAGTAGGTATCAAACTACTTGTCTTCACGTTCGGACGCAATGTGTTAACACTGCACCACTGGTCCCCTATGCTCAGACCATACATATATATATATGCTGCATGCCCATTTGTATTCACATATTTCTACTGCCGGCTTATCTCGGGACTTTCGCAATAACCGCATAATTTTGATCATATTGGTAATTAAGTATAGGCGTATTTGTGATACTTTCGGCTTAATACGTTGAAAGAAAAGATGAAGTTTGACGTCGAAGCTGATGTTGTGACGTCTTTCCAGAGTTTTTGTTCTGCTGTTCGCCATAGTGATTTGCTGGCTAGGACGACATGTTACAGTCAAGGAAACGAAAGGTGAAAAAGGAATTCATTCACAGCATGTTTTATTTCCGCAAATTA